CAAGTCAAAGTCCAGACCTGAATCCAATCGAGAATCTGTGGGAAGAACTGAAAACTGCTGTTCACAAACGCTCTCCATCCAATCTCACTGAGCTCGAGCTGTTTTGCAAGGCGGAATGGGCAAAAATTTCAGTCTCTTGATGTGCAAAACTGTTAGAGACATACCCCAAGCGACTTACAGCTGTAATCGCAGCAAAAGGTGGCGCTACAAAGTATTAACTTAAGGGGGCTGAATAATTTTGCACGCCCAATTTTTCAGTTTTTTATTTGTTAAAAAAGTTTGAAATATCCAATAAATTTCGTTCCACTTCATGATTGTGTCCCACGTGTTGTTGATTCTTCACAAAAAAATACAGTTTTATATCTTTATGTTTGAAGCCTGAAATGTGGCAAAAGGTCGCAAAGTTCAAGGGGGCCAAATACTTTCGCAAGGCACTGTACATACTTGAAGGTGCTCTGATTAATTTTGGACCAATGACACTCACCAACTTTTGCTTTAGGTCAGAACCTGACCTGAGCCGTGCTTCAAGGTCTAACAGCGACTCCAGATTGTGAAGAGGAAGAGTTTCCGGTTCGAGAACATCAACATCTGTGGTATGTCTAAGGCCTCCAGTGCCTTGCAAGGTTAGGATGATTGTTCTTAACTGGTCAAGAATGATCTCCTGTTTGGTCAGGAGATTCTGTAAAATAGCTATGGAAAATATAAAAATATATTAACACAGTTGCATGTTATCTCATACAAGCAAAAGGGGAGGAAAAAAAACTTACAGCAGACACCAGAGGGAGCTCCAAGAAGAGTTCTGAAGTTATCACCCCTTGTATTGCTTCTGGACTGCTGAGGAGAGCCACACCTGCCCCTAGTGCTGCTTCCAGACTGCTGAGAGGACCCACCAAAGCGGCCCATGGAGTGATGAGAAGAACAGCCAGGGTTGCTGCTAAAGTTCTGGCGAGAATCGTTCGAGTGCTGAGGAGAGTTGCCATAGTCTGTGCTGGAATGCAAAGGAGAATAGCTGGAGTTGAGGCTAGAGCGCTGAGGAGAGTTGCCGGAGCACTGAGGAGATTTGTTCGAGTTGGCTGTGTTACCGCCAACCTCCCCATCCAACCCCCAGTACTTTCTTGGAGCAGCTGGCAGTTCATGTGTTCTACATATTAACGAAAAAAGAGGAAAAGGTTAAATTTGATAAGGATAATTACCTTTATTGGCCAAGTATATTACACACAAGGAATTTGTTTCCAGTACAAAACCAATGGTAGCCATCTGCGGTGCCAATTCAACCGATGGCTCTAACCATCGGCGGCAACTTGGGGGTTCAGTGTCTTGTTCAAAGACACTTCGACACGTGGACTACAGGCACCGCGATTTGATCCTCTGACCCTCCAGTTGGGATACGTTTGGAAACAATCCTGATTTTGGACTATGTGTTACGGCTCGCCGTAAGTAGTGTGTTTTCTTTTTTACGGACTCAAAGAACTGCAGGACTCAGGCTCACGCTTGACAAGGTAAACAAATTTTAATGTGCAGATAGGGGGTGTGACAGAGCTGACTTCATCTGTCGGTCGCGGGGCAGCTGGGAGCGCTGAGTGGACTGGACTGCTGGTGCGGCAACCCGGGTTGGTGGTTGGAGGTGGACGCGGTGTGCTAGAGGGGAGCAGAGGGAGAGAGCATGAGAGAGCGGAACAGGTATGCTGAGGTATGTGGCTAGTTCTGGTGGATTACAGTGGACCTGATAGCTGACTGCGCCGAAGCGTGGCCGGTGAACGCCGCAGGCCGAAGAAGCAGTCCAGGGTAGCAGGAGAGGGCACAGAAGAAAGCCCGTCTGACGAGCAGATCCACAGTAGAGCAGAGAGGAAGATGACGTGAAGAACACTGAGAGGGAAAATCCAGGTGAGAGCAAGGGTAGCAGGAGAGGGCACAGAAGAAAGTCGGTCTGACAAGCAGGTCCACAGTAGAGCAGAGAGGAAGATGGTGTGAAGAACACTGAGAGGGAAAATCCAGGTAGGAGCAGGTATCCTCGCAGGGCGGAAAACAGGCAGTAGTCACCGGGGAGATGACAAGCGATCATCTGGTGGCGAGGACACACCAACGCTCTCCCTAAGTACTGCTCTGATGATTGCGAGCAGGTGTGCCTCGCCGCCTGGACTGCACTCCCACCTGTGCAGGGGCGGTGCTGCTGGGAGCACTCGCACTACCTGACGAGGTGCTGGGGGTGGCCAAGGCCGGGGACGGCACACT